ACCTTAAGCCCTTCTACAACTCGGTGGTGTCTTCGGCCATCCATTATGGCATTGTCTGCTGGTCAGGCAGCATCTCGGCCCGGGACGGAAAGAGACTGGAGCGACTGGTCAGGAGGGCCACTTCTGTCCTGGGCTGCTCCCTAGACACTCAGGAGGAGGTGGGCAACAGGAGGATGCGAGCTAAGCTAAAAGCTATAATGGACAGTCCCTCCCACCCCCTCCAGCCCGCCCTGACAGCACTAGGTAGCTGCTTCAGCCAGAGACTGTTACACCCGCCCTGCACGAAGGAGAGATACCGCCGCTCGTTCCTACCGACTGCTGTCAGGCTGCTGAATAAAAAAATAAAATGATGCGAAAAACAATTGTAAATAGCACAGTCACCTTATCTATATCTATGTTGCACGTAATTGAACGGTGTACATTGAAACTGTAACATTTATTTTGTGAATGCAAACACTTTGTTTTTCTTCTTTCTTCTTTCTACCCACAATCTTGCTGCCGTAGACTGTTAATTTCCCCAGTGTGGGACAAATAAAGAATATCTTAATGCCTGGATTTGTTGCTGATTGCTCGAAGGAGAAATGTAGATGTGCAGCCAAGTTTGGAAAACTCTAAATTGAAATCAGCTTTTGACATGACATAACTAGCAGGTTGCAAAAGCGTGGGGGTAAAACCGGTGGGGGGTGTGGACAAGCGAAGGTGGGTCACGTGTTCCTGTGGTTGCGATAAGGACTGGCGCACCTCCTGCAGCGCTCTCACTCACTCACTCACTCACTCAGCTCCATCTGGACTTATAGCACCCGCCTCACCAGTGGGACAGGAGCAGGGGGAGTTTTACTTCACACTCTCTTACTCTGCTTCTGCCCACCCACTTTACCACTGACACACTCAACTCGCTCACACACTCTCCCACCGCTTCACTTCAGCGCGTCCACTGAGTCCCATCTGCACGCACGCACGGGGAGCATGGCAGCAGCCCATGGCGAGTACAGAGGCTACCTGCGCACGACCGTGGATGTTGAGGCCGGCCACCACCGCCTCCAGCCGGCGGCCGGCTCGGAGCACTCGCACCGGCCGCTTCTGTTCGGCACCCTGGTGGTCATGGGATTGCTCCAGGTGGCCTCCAGCGTGGCCATCCTGATGCACCTGACCGGCTATTTGCAGCAGGTAAGGAGCTGCTTTTTTTCTTTTCTTCTTTTTAGTTGTTTTCTTGTCTTTTGTGTTAAGCGTTGATTTGCCCAATTTAATAATGCCCTAAAATCTGCAAAGTTAGAAAGAAAGCGGCATGCTTTGAGCTAGCGCTCATCCGAAGTACTTGAACCATAAATGACTTAAAAAGAAGTTGTGCGCAAAAATCGCGTCAAAGCCAGGTTACACAGGCGGGTCAAGTGGGCTTTGTTCTCAGAATTTTTCCACGGAACTTGAATAATTAAATAAAAATATGATACCCGGCATATCGTCTTGCACAACGCAGATGTTTCCACTCGACTGTGCACATCCGCTGTTATTTGTGATTAATATATGCAAGATAAGCACCGCAGTATAAACAACAGTTTTCTCAAGATTCGAAAGGACTCGAGATGTTCCAACACGTAAAGTGCAACAACAACAAAAAAGAATCAAGGGGGGAGATCACAATCAAAATAGTCTGCACGCCTCGTTTGTTTTTGTCAGGTCATTATGAAAACCCCTCTCTTCACTTACAATAATATTTACATTGTGCCACGATTGGCTTTTTTGGAGACTTTGTGGTGGTTTTTGGGGAGTTGGATGATGGTCGTGTCAAGACAAGCCAAAAGGGAGCAGACCACATTTGGGCTGTGTCAGGGTGCTTTGGGTTCACCTGGAAAGCATCCGGAGGACTTTCTGCTGGTCTCTCGCTCTCAGTATGTTTATGGAATGATATGCTTTCACTTCGCCTTATGCATAAACACTTTGCAGAGTGCCTTTAAAAAAAACAACCTCACTCAAGTTGTGCATATTATACTGGATACTAAAATAGGTGAGCATGGTTGCATTTCATATTCTAGCGTACTTTGTACTGACTTTATAAATAAGTAGGTCTACAGACATCTTTTAGTCTTCTTGTAGATAATGTAACAGGATAGGCTATGTGCATCAAGCGCACTGTATATGTGTTACTTAAACACAAGTGTATACAGCTTATTGTAAAATAGACCCTCACTATATCAGTGTTCATCGGCCCAGCCCCTGCTATATCTAGATTTTCAGAAGTACAACATTTTTTTTCTATTTTTTTTTTCAGAATTTACAGTTGCACAACTCCAGTGTTAAATAGTTGGCTTGAAAAACATTCTATTGAAATGGTTACTAGACTAATGGGTCAGATTTAGAGAGATTTAAGATTGAAGCATGCATGCTGTACACCTTATTTGGACAACAACATGCACGAGTTTTCTTTTAGTTTTCTCAAAGTGATGTGCAATTTGTCTCCACTTTCTTGAGAGCAAGTAAGGACAAGTGCTCAAGATTACTTCAAAAGTGTGTTTTGATGTGGTTAACCATTTAGTGCAGTAGTTCTTAACCTTGTTAGATGTACCGAACCCAACCAGTTCATATGCACAATCATCGAACCCTTCATGAGTGAAAAATAAAAATATGATTTTTGACAAATTCAAGACATGAAAAACGCGTTTATTAAAAATAGAAAAATGTAAATAAAATTTCAAGACATACATTTTTTAAATTGTGCATAAAATGAACAAAATAAATGTTCATGCAGTTTCAAGAAGTGTTCCTTCAGTTTTGCCAGTGCGAGACAAGAGTTGCTCAATTTGGCATGACAAATCATGCAGATAGGACGCTGAGTCCCATCACGGTCCGTGATGCATATTAATCCATGTTGTACATATTCGTCCGACCACTTTCTCTTTTTTTTTTTTTTTGCTCGACATTGTGAGCATCTACTAAATTTTTTTTCTTTCTTAAAATCACACGACATGCTATCATGACAGTCACACGTTGACTACTGAGCAAACTAAATTTTCCACTGCACTGATTGGGCAAGCAATGTAATGTGATCATCTGCTGCCAGTGACGGCCAAGCGGGCGTGTCATAACTAATTGACATGTTGAGTCGGGTGTGTCTTAACCTCCATGGCAGAATCTCCGTCGAGCCCCTGAGACCGATTCACCGAATCCCGAGGCTTCAATCGAACCCAGGTTAAGAACCACTGGGTTAGTGTGTGGATTTTTTTTCTTCTTTTAATAGTTGGCTTTTCACCCAGTCCTATCTGGAATGTATCCCCTGAGATAAATGAGGGTTCACTGTATGTATTTTTAATGTACTGTACTCTATATTGGTGATACTGACAAATATAGGGGCGGTCCACAATGTGTATTTAAATCAAGTAAATGGAGAAGTCTTTGTATATAAGCTATAACTCCTACTTGGACCAAATTGTGCTTGGGTATGCTGAAAAGTATGAGAAAGAGGCGGGTCTACTGGCAAGATTTGGTACTTCATGAACAAATACCGGTTCTAAAATATTCACAACAATGGAACCACTGGCTCCAAGTCAGAGGCAAATTGGCAGGAGATCCTCAGGGTTATAAGTAAAGTGTAAAAAAAAAAAAAAGAGGTTCCAAAGTCCAATAGAGACAAAATTGTCTGACAATACATTATGGACAAAACAAATAGTAAAGACTCAACACACTGGCACAGTCGGCATCATAAACAAATATTATGGTCACAGAATTCAAACATCTATCACGGCCTGTGTGTGAAGACGAGTGGAATTGAAAGTGAGACCGTTTCATTTAGTAACCAGGAAGAGTTAAGACATTGGTTTAATTTTGCGGAAACAGTATTGACTTCGCCTAACATGAGCCTCAAGGCTAAATAGTGGTTAGCATGCTGTGGTTTAGCTACCGTTCTGGCAATCAAAGAATCCCACGTTTCTGATGAAATATAACACTTAGGCAACAATCAATCACTTTCCACTACAAGATAAATATATGTATATATTTTGTAACTCTTTTACTAAAAAGTACCGAACTAAAATGTAAATGCTGAAAATGGAGCGAGGTACAGTGCATACTATGTGTCACGTGTTGCAAGTGGTCAAACCTTACCTTCAAAGTGTTTCTCTGAAACGGTTGACGACTAATTTAATAGTGACACTTTTTTGGAACATCTGTGCAGTGCTATTATTACTACATTCAAAGTGGCATGTTTCATCAATCAGTGTTATTTTTTTAATGGCTGTGCTTTAAGTCAACATTTATATCCATCCATCCATTTTCCAATCTGCTTTATCCTGACATGTGGGTGCCGAAGTCTATCCCAGGTGTCTTCGGGCAGTAGGCAGGGGACACCCCGAACTGGTTGCCAACCAATTGGAGGGCACCCAGAAACGAACAACCATCCACGCTTATACTCACACCTCGGGATAATTTAGAGTGTTCCATTAACCTGCTATGCATGTTTTTGGAATGTGGGAGGAAACCGGAGTACCCGGAGAAAACCCACGCAGGCACGGGGAGAACATGCAAACTCCACACAGGAAGGTCCGGAGCCGGGATCCAACCCACAACCTCTGTACTGTGAGGTCGATGGGCTAACCACTGGACCACCGGGCCGACTAAACATTTATAGTGACTTATTTATTAGTCGGGCAAATTTCTTGTGTTTTCATGTACTTGGCCAATAAAGATGATTACGACTCTGATTCTGACTAGTCGAGTAATCGGTTTAACCCCATCATTTTGAATGAACACATGTTCTCATCACGGCTGGGGTTGGCCCTTTAAATGGCAACATAGCTCAGTCTGCAAAGACTTGCTTTAGGCTTTCTGAGGCTCACAGGTTCATGACCTGCTGTTAACCACCATATGGAATTTGGGACTGGTTGGTGGAGAAGACGTCTGACATCCCTATTAAAGAAATAGGAGTATACTTATTGCATACACTTGGCATTTCTACTTGAACTGAAGATACTTTGTTTTCATAAGCATGCTATTTGTTGCTGGGTGTCGGCCAGCGGAGCGAGAAGAGTGACTGTGTTTAATTTAACTGGTTTGGAATGGATTTGGAATAACAGTCAGCGCGAGACACTTCCTTGAGGAGGAGCTTTGGCAGAGGAGTGCGCGGTCTTTGTTAAGATGATGACAAGGGGTGCATGCTTGCATGAGTCAGGAAACGTGCGAGGAACGTAGTCTGGCACTGGACCATCATGCGCCTTCAACACCTGCACGACTATCCCAGCGATCTTGGAGCCAAGCGCGGGAATGATCCTCTGATCATTCCCATCAACATTTTTTTTTCCCTCCCCTCGTTTTATGCAAGCCTGAAGGTCTTGTTGACACAATCGCATAAGAAGAACCACGTTACAAATCACTTTGACTTTTAAGCCTGCTACTTGGGAATGCTGATTGAACTTTGGAAAATAACCCCACACACACACCAAAGCAGCCTGGACTTCCTTTGCGTTTTAAGGCGTAATCTTACCAAATGTCAACAATGTGCTTCCATAGCACCTTTTCTGAGATGGTGTGATGATGCACTGACCTCTGTCCTGTCATCTTGTCTCCAGGTAGATCTGACCACTGCTCCACGTCAACCCATTGAGGTGAGTGTAACTCTTCATGTATGCTCATTTGAACCCTTTCAGGGACAGCAGTTACTACAGTGGACAGCTTATCATGTTATCACATTACAGGGTGCAGGAAAGGGTTAAAGAACATACTGCATGGTAGCCAGTGTTAAAGCGACTGATGGTAGTACAATCTTGAACTTTAAATATACCAAAACAACAGATGGCATTATACTGGAACACGAATGGGTGCTTTAGCCCATCAAAAACTTGAAAAAAAGCCTTTTGGGAAAAGAAATAATCAAAAGAACATTTGCCCAAAAAACGAAATTAATGATCAAGAAGGCAATTTTAAACATGCAAAGAGAAGGTTCATATTGTCATTAAGAATAAAGGACCCCCCCCCACACACACACAAAAAAATTGAAAATGAATGATGCTTCTCTCATGTTAGAATTCACATGCTGTTTCTTTTGAAGATCTATAAGCATTCAAGGTAAATCCGTTCATCTGAAGACAAGACTGACAGTTTCAGTGACGTGGTTAAGTCGTTAAAAGCTGAAACAATCTGGAAATTTATGGCTATTATTTTATTATGAAAGCGCCTGTGGCTGGGCAAAATATTTTTATTACATGATGCGCATACAAAGTGTCACTAAGGATTATGATGTCAACAAATCGCAACACAGAGTGAATGGAAAATCAAGATCACAGACCCAGTCTTGCAGTTAGACTTCGAACTCCCAACTGCACACCACCATTGAATTTGAACTCTGCTGCCAACCAAAACAGCAGCACTTACCGAGAAAAGTGTTGTGAAGTCTCTCAGCTGAATTAGCAGGTATGATACAGTATACAGAGACCGTGTCTTGACTGAAAATTATTTTTCCAGTAGACTCTGAGACTCAGGCTCCAGAATATCCATCCATCCATCCATCCATTTTCCGATCCGCTTATGCTCACAAGGGTTGCGGGGGTGTGCTGGAGCCTATCCCAGCCGTCTTCGGGCAGTAGGCGGGGGACACCCTGAACCGGTTGCCAGCCAATCGCAGGGCACATAGAGACAAACAACCATCCATGCTCACACTCACAACTCGGGACAATTTAGAGCAGTCAATCAGCCTGCCGTGCATGTTTTTGGAAAGTGGGAGGAAACCGGAGTGCAAACCCACACAGGCCCGGCCGGGGAGAACATGCAAATTCCACACAGGGAGGCCGGAGCTGGAATTGAACCCGGTACCTCTGCACTGTGACTTGACGCACTAACCACTGGACCACCAGGCCGCCGGCTCCAGAATAGTCTTATTTTATTTCATTTTCAACTCTACATTTATCAATGCACCCATCCATTCATTTTCAACACCACATATCCTGAAGAGGGTCACGGGGAGTTGCTGGAGCCTGTCCCAGCTGACTTCGGGCGGAATGCAGACTTCACCCTGAACAGTTCGCCAGTGTATTTGGCCTCTATTTTTATTGCCATATCAAGCTGAGGAAAATATAAAAAAAAACATTGCTGATCCATCCAGCTACCCATTTTCTGTTGTCCGTTTCCTTAAATGGGTCAAACACTCACACTCACATTCAAACCTATGAACAATTTAGAATCAATAATTCAGGAGGATGCCAAGCTTTAAACCTGCCGCCTCTCAACTCTCAACTGTCTAGTATGAGGCCACTCAGAGCCGTTGGTGAGTGATTGGTGGAGGTGTATCTCCAAGTGATGGATTATTGTGCGTATTGCATTTCAGTGTTTACCGTTAGTTTAATTTATTGAGGCCCTCAGGCAAAGTTCTGTTCGTCCAAGAATATGATGAGATTGTGCTTGCGCACATACAATAGAGTGAATACTGATAAGACAGCGAATACTGAATATCCACCCTCAGGAGGATTTTAGGGTTCTTCTTTCTCTACTTGGTTCTTTAAATGTGCTTTGTGATTAAAAACATAGCAGGAAGTTTTGGCTCGAGGAATCTGTTTCGGATTTCCGATGAAGGGGAATGAGCCAATGCAACCGTGCCGATTCCCATGACTGTAACACTTGGCCCATGTTGTGCTTAAGGACCTTCATCAGACTGATGTGGTGGGCGGATTTTTGAACCCTTTTGTTGAGGGACAGGACATGCAGGCAGGGCCTACGCTGAGCTCTTCTAATGTAATTACTCTCAGTGCAAATATGTTCAATAAGATTATAAGTGACATTAATGCTGACTGATTGATCGAGAATGCCAAGCGCAGCTCTGAGCATGTGCCATCACGCTCACCTCATTTGTCATGTCTTCTATGTAGCAACACCCGCTGCAGGGTTCTGGAACTGGGACCATCTTATTCATTTATCTTCTGCTTCAGCTTATTCAGGGGTTACCACAGCAAATCATCCTCTCCCATCTCTTTGTCTTCTCTCAATCTTCTGCTCCAAGTTAAGCTGTCTTCAAGTCTTCCCTGTCACATCCATAAAGCGTCTCTTTGGTCTGCATCCTACCGGGCGGCTCCCTTTCCAGCATCCTTCCAAAGACTGATGCATCCATGTCCCTGTCCTGCACGTGGCCAAAGCTTCTCCATCTGGCCTCTCGAGTCTGTGCTCCCTAAACTTCCATTCTATGCTGTCCCACTAATGAGCTCATTCTGGATCTTGAGCATCCCTCTCACTCGCAAGGAGAATCTCGGCTTCCTCAAATCAGCCACCTTCAGCTCTGTCCACCGTCTTCTTGACGTTGTTTACATAATCTCTCTACTGTACTATAAACCTTTCATTTCACTTTAGCTGGTGCTCTTCTGTCCCCATTACCCCTGGCATTTTTGTCCACCCGCTCTATCCTTCCCTGTATGCTCTCTTTCTCTCGCTCTCTCTCTTAGAAATGTACACTCAGGTTCTTGACTGCAAATATTAAAACAAATCTATAACTCTTAAGATAAATGAAACCAATTTTGATCGCTGCAGTTGTCTTCTTTAGGGCTGAACCAACCCTCAGGCACCAACCATCTGTCAGCAAGGAAGCCCTTCTTTCTTTCCTGTCTCTTGAGCCTTCATAATGTTTTCACACTTTGTACATAATGCCGTTGGGCTCGGGCCTATCTGAGAAAAGTATTCACCTCCTGTCAGCTCAGTTCCTCGGCTTGAAGTGGGTGGATGGTTCGTCTGGTTTTATGGGCTTCTCAAGGTCTCCAAACGCATCCTCCTCCCTTCTGCGGTCACTATGTATTTGGAGGTGCCTCCTTCCTTCCTTCCTTCCTTCCTTGTCTGCAACTTCCCAGATCATCTGCTGCAGTGTATTTTTAACCGATATTTAACTGCATTTTGAGTGAAGTTTGGCCATTCCTTCAGCCATCGTTTTCTGTCCCAGTAGTGACATTCTGCTCTCTTGGGTTGTCTTCTGATGCTTCACGAAAAGCCTCCATCACGCTCCACAGAATTTCCCCTAACTACTGCTTCTTCAGATGTCCGTTTTTCTTTGCTTTGGCTTTTGGCTTTGTGATCAGCACCTAGACTCCAGATGATCAATGCCATGGCTTGGAACATCTTGCCCAAATTGTCTGGCAAGGTTGTCTCTCGCACTTGGTCTACATTGTGGAAGACCATCTCCCTCTCATTCATTGCCCCCTGCGGCTGTCCAGTTCTTTCAATCCCTTTATGCCACCCGAGCGCAGTCGTTCTGTCCACGTTGTAAAAAAGATTTTTTTTTAAAAAGCAAAACAGTGATGGTCGCTGAACTGGGGTATCTAGAATTACACTGTCGTCTCCGTTTGACATCCAACGTTTAGTGCAACGTTACTGAAGTTTACCTGACGAGTTCCATTTACACATCAAAAAAGCATTTTTTGGGGGGGAGGGCATCATATTGGGAGAGACACTTTATTTGCGAGAAATTGAGAAAGAACTTTCTCATGCACACACACGCACGCACGCACGCGCGCGCGCGCACGCACGCACGCACACACACACACACACACACACACACACACACACACACACACACACACACACACACACACACACACACTTTTTCATAACTTTCCTTTTTTTCTGGTTCCACTTCCTGGCTCAGGATCAGCATACCTGAGATATCTGTGATAAGATACACAAATCATCAACAAGTTAAAATGGAGCGATTAACCATTCAGAGTGTAATGGTGTATTGTTATGCATCCTTATTAAAGTCAGTTACCAAGATTATCAAAGATGGTACAGGATGATTTTTCAATGACTTAACGTAATGTCCTCAGTTCATACACTACGCTGCAAGTAGTAGTAGTTTCACTGTTTCATACATATTCATGCAATTTTACTCCCACATTTATGAAAGATAAGCGGCACCCTGTTTGGGTAAGTCTCTGACTAAAGCGTCAAATCAGATGGTTATTGAATTGGTGATCCACAACAAAAGAGGAAGAAGAAGAAAATTCATCTTTGTTTGTCATGTAAACACACACGTATGAATCTTAACCTCTGCATTTGACACGGTCGGTTAAGCTGCAACTCATTACACTTGCGTGATTGTTCACGATTTCAGTCCTTAGTATTTTTTTTTCAGTTAATTCATTCTTATATAATGATTGCATTATACATTATTTAATTTGGGCAGAAAAATTCCCTCTTGGTTGGTTCGCTAATATCGAAAACATTTCTCCTTATCAGCAGTCAGAAGTGTAGCAACAAGACGATTTTGAAGTGATGTTGATGTAAAAGGGTGTAAATATTGTTGCTTTCAAGCCAGCTGTGAGTTGGCGGTAACTGTTTACTTGCTTGGAAACCATGTTTGGACTGAATGAGACAGTGTGTGTGCGCGCACTCTGTCTCGACTGCCGTCAAGTACACACAGTTAAAGACTTGCCCATTATTTCAAATGACAGCTGTGGTGAAACATATAATGTGTTTATTACTGGTGTTTTGGGGTTGGTTTGTCATTTTGAACATTTTCCCCTGCCCTTTTGTCACAATTTGTCATCTCGTTCAACTCTTTGCGGCAGCAAGTACAGACGGAGCCGGTGCTAAATGCGCTGAAAGCCACGAAGAAGAACCGACGCTTCAAGAACCAGAAGGAGAATCTGCCCTCCGCCCACCTTCCCATCAAGGTGCATCAACAGTTGGCGAAGCGTAAGTCTTCTTCACTCTATATAAGTGCATGCAACTCGTGACTCGTTTTTAGCCGCAAAACATCCAATCTTGGTATTTTGTGGCGAAAGAAAAAAATCACTTTCAAATGGTCTCAGTTGGTGTTTTGTGCCCGTGAAATTGTTTTTTTTTTCTTTTGTTTTTTTTTTACTTGCACTGCAACAACAGATACCTAATAATTAAACAGACTTGCTTGAACAAGAGAGAGAAAACAGAATGTGAAAGTAGAGTAGAGTAGCGGAAGTAAGCCAAGTAGTAATACTCAAAGGCCTTCACGTGCTCACAGTTGACAAATATTAACAACATCCCTGACCTTAGACCCCAGGAGGTCAAGGAAAAGCAAAAAAAAAAAAAAAAAAAAACCACCTGGGGAAAAATGAGAAACCTTGAGACGGTGCTGCAGATGGGGGAATCCTTCTTTCACGATGACCAGCCTGCAATGGATGTGTTTCGGCCAAAAAGAAACATTTTACACAACAACATAGTCTTGTCATAGTTTCATTCCTACCACATGCTTTCAACTTATAACTTACCGGTATTAATCATTCAAGCTTACACACTTTACACTTTTTAACACGTGGTAAATGGATGTGTCCAAACTGAAAGCGTCAAATCGACAGAAAATACTGTACATTATGGTTATGCCTGTGTGCATGCATGCCTTTAAGAGGCGGGGGCTAGTGCGGTCGTCTGTGACGTCGGCAAGTCAGGATGGGGGCAAGAGCTGCGTGCTCTGAGTGCGTTTGTGTTGCACCAATGTCTCGACGTTCGTTAAATGGCTAAAAAGTGCATCGGTGACCGTGGCTCTCCTTTACCACATGCAAGGGCTTTTTAGTTAAAACTGAAAAAAAAACCCAATGTGATATACTTGCGACGCAAATGTTGAACCGCCATATAGCAAGGGACCCCATACGTTAAATGTAGCCTAAATCGATCTCTTTCATTGCAGCAGGTGAACCGAGTGCTGTCCCCATCGACTGGGACGAGGTGCACGGGTACCGTCACAGGATGGACTACCAGAAGGGCAAATTGCTAGTCGTCAAGTCGGGCTTCTACTACGTCTATGCCAAAACCTGCTTTCGCTACTACGAGTACCGCGGGGATGGAGACCAAGGCGGCGGGGCTTCCATGGACGTGAGCAATACGCAGCTCATCCAGTACGTGTACCACGAGCGCATCAAGCAGAACAGCAAAGCGGACCTGTTGATGAAGACGGGCAGCACCATGCGCTGGGACAACTCCAGCTACAACATGTACTGCGCCCAGCAGGGCAGAGGCCTGTGGCTGCAGCAAGGGGACGCCTTGTACGTCACCGTGTCCAACGCGTGGATGCTGGACCCCGATGGAGTGGGGACTTACTTTGGGGCCATTAAGTTGGGTAACTGAAAATGTTCAGACTTGGGACGCCGCCATGCTACTGAAGTGACCCCCAAAGAGCCCCTGATATTGTGCATTTCATAGTTTCATCACATTGCTTTTTTCCTGACACAGACAAAACCACACTCGACTCGGCCCAATGTAGCGCTGGATTCTTTTAGGGTGTGTGTGTGTGTGTGTGTGTGTGTGTGTGTGTGTGTGGAGGGGTGTGTGTGTGCGTGCGTGTGTGTTTTAAACTCATGTTATTCATTAAGATCACATTTTAGTGTGCCGTTTGTTTTTTTTGCACTGATGAGACAAACAAAGGACGCAAAGCGAGGAGTTATTGGAAAAGGAGCTCCGCATCACCATGGAAATACTGAAGCTGAGGCAGCATCTGTTTGCATTTTAACATCAGTGGGACAAAAATATTGCTCAGACTCAGCTGGCGGTGTTTTCTAGACAAAAAATGTTTTGGATGGTGCGATCGACGCGGGGCCAGACGAGGTGCCTTCATGACTGCTATGTTTACGTGCAAATCATTGACCCCACCAAAGATGTGCCTAAATTATTCCATTTTGTTCTTGCAATGCCTTGAGTCCCAACAACATCCATTTCGTGTCAGTCCCAAAACAAGCAATGTGCTAAGTGGAGCTACCGTACCACAGAAAGCATGTCAACCGCCGTGGTGTCAATTTCACCCTCACTGACCCAAACATTCCCACCATTGCTCATTAAGATGCGGGTGTGCTGGAGCCTTTCCCGAGATGTGCAGTGCCAGTCATTCACAAGGCACATTTAGGCAAACAATTTTGCACCTATTGTTCACACCTAGGGCGGCCCGGTGGTCCAGTGTTTAGCGCGTCGACCTCACAGTGCAGAGGTACCGGGTTCAATACCAGCTCCGGCCTCCCTGTGTGGAGTTTGCATGTTCTTCCCAGGCCTGCGTGGGTTTTCTCCGGGTACTCTGGTTTCCTGCCACATTCCAAAAACATGCATGGAAGAATGATTGAACACTCAAAATTGTTCCGAGGTGCGAGTGTGAGCGCGGATGGTTGTTCGTCTCTGTGTGCCCTGCAATTGGCTGGGAACCGGTTCAGGGTGTTCCCTGCTTACTGCCCGAAGACAGCTGGGATAGGCTCCAGAACCTCCTGCAACCCTTGTGAGGATAAAGCGGATCGGAAAATGAATGAATCAATGAATAAAGCCATCTTCCTGTGTGGAGTTTGCATGTTCTCCCCGGGCCTGCGTGGGTTTTCTCCGGGTACTCCGGTTTCCTCCCACATTCCAAATACATGCATGGTAGGCTGACTGGACACTCTAAATTGTCCCTAGGTGTGAGTGTGAGCGTGGATGGTCCTCCAAGCAGCAAATGCACCTTATCAATTTATACCATGGTTAATGTTTTTGTCCGTGTGGCATCATCTGCTTGGAATTGGGACAGTGAGGTTCATGTAAACATAGTCAGTCCCTTATTCTAAATCACAACTCTGACTCTGGCTTAGTTTATTTTTATTCACACAGCCAGTTCAACATATAGCGTCCCAAATGCGCTCCGATTATATCATGCCGACATTTTTGACTGCATTTCGACAAATAACGTAGTTGTTTTTTTGCGTGTGACGATCAACAAGCGATGCAGATAGCTGGACTGTCTGTTCTTGAATGACACGAAAAGACTCTTTGAAAAGGAGGAACCAAATTGACTTTGGTTTGTCTTTAACTTATTTTTTTCCCCTCGGTTTTCATTTGGCTCTCCGGTGAGGTAAATGGGAATATGCACTATTTATTTATTAGCTATAGAAGTACAGAGGCAGGTCATTGTTCAAGTGACTTTTCAGCTGTAAAACAAAAAAGGAAAAAAAAGAAAAGTAATGTATATTTTATGTCGACAACATTCATTATGCAGCACTTAGGAAATAGTAGGCACGCTTTTTGTTTTATGAAAAACACAGGGGCTTCAGCTCTAATTCCATATTTATGTATCTCTCTTGACAATTGTGTGTGCACTCTTCTAACTGAAAGCAATATAGATTTATTGTTTATTCCGCAAGATAGTAGCATACCTGATTTCAGCTGATAATTTGTTTTTTTGTCAGTGTGATTTTTTTTTTTAATTGATATTTGTGTATGTTTAAATAAATAAAAAAATACTACTTTTGTAATTAAGTTTCATGGTGTATTGAAGTGAGATGCGGGCATGGTTCCGAGTTCAACGTCCTTTCTACATTCACCGGGCACTTTATTGCAAAAACATGTGAGTAAAAAGAACAAAATCGATATGATCAGAAAATAATTTGAAAGTGAGATGGACCCCAATCAAATTTTGAGACGTTCTCAATTGAATTTCATTGTAATAGAAAAACTCCACAGAGATCTGTCAACCTTCATGGAGCCCCAGAGACCAGGAATCACAAGGAATATACCCGTACATATAAAACTAAACTACGCAGCGACAAAATGATATTAATTTGTCTTCAAACATGCACACACGTGTGGAGTTAATATAATTCCAATGAACTTAACTTTGACATTTGGATAAGCAAAGGGCAGACACAAATGTCTTATGTGCTCTTCAGTAGAATGCAATGCTCTTTTTTGGGGTTGTTTTTGTCAAGCTCTGAATCACAAGAGTCTCAAAGGCCTTCACAAGGCCACAGTTCGGAAATATGACCGGCATCCCTTGTTCTAACCCCGCAAAAGGGGGTTAGAATTGCTGGTGTATCAAATAAGTGTTCAGGGTTCTTTTTATTAAAACAGATTATTATGGAGATTGTAGAGGAGGGGGAGCTGTCAATTTGCTTTATCGATAGTACTCATAACAAGGTGAAATTCCTCAACAATGTTCTTCTACTACTTCTAGAGGAATAATTCCTTAACAAGATGTAAGAATTGTATATTAATGTGTCTTTGCATCTTATCCTGAAACTAAGCAAAAGTCAATCATCCAACTGTATCTCGGTCCATTGCCTTGAGCCCTGATGTCCACCTTCCCATTTTCAAACGAAGGAACGTTTGCTTACCCAACCGTCCAGTAACCAGCCAGAGCTACTTTATTCCGCAAAATTTGTATACACATTATACTTCGTTCTTGGCCCCGAATTTGTATTTAGTTGCTACAAATTAGCATTTTGTGTGCACGTTGTATGTATGTTGTGGTCACCTTCCATGCTGTGTTAGAATCCAACAACAAGCAGAGCAGCAACGCATTAGTCACACACATTTTAGTTTCAGCTGCATACAAAGTACATAGTGCACTGAATTTTATAGTATTCATGTTTAAAATGTTTCAAAATCTTGTACATGTGTCCTTTTTTTCTAAGTTTGACCACCTGCACCTCCAAATGTCTCTGCCGAGACTCATGTCTAGGTATGCAGGAAAGTCAACAGTGATGTCAGGTTGATATGTCAATCGGTAGGCAGACAGACAGATAGGTCAGTATGTTGGTAGGAATGTACGTAAGCATTTATATCTAGGTAATTAAGAAGTTATTTCGGGTCAGAGACAATAATGAAATAATCAGAGGTGGGCATTCCATCAGACTGAAGAAAGGTCCGTCGGTCCGTGACTCTGTTAGTATCTCAATCTGACCCACGTGAGTCCAGTCCGTCCCTCGTTGGTGACAGACACGTGGCGTCGAGAACGTAATATCCATGTCGCACTGCGGAAGCTGACAGCCAAATTAAGAAACAAATAAAAACAACAGACACAAACATGCACAGTGTGGTGACTGGTGGAATAAAAACAATATGGGACACATGACACTGAGGTCTGAGGAGTGGAAAGGCATACATCATTGTTTTAGTCATTTAGTTTTTCTGTATTTGGCTGCGTGTCAGGCATGTGACACCTGCGAAGTGATGTGGTACCTGTTAGCCCGTTCTTGACGCCGTTTGACTGTTACTGATGACTCGGACGGATAGGACTGACCTGAAATAATGATGGCACCACCTCTGGAAAATAGTATATAAGGTTGAGGACTATGTGGAATGTCAAGACCAAAAAAGCCACAGAAATGTTTTTGTCACCTTGGTGAATACTGTATATGTTTAAGACAATCAACGCAACGCAACGCAACAGATTCTCTTCCATCAAACTGATCCAAAGAGTTGTCCTGTTCTTCAACCTGCCCGCCACGACGGTTCCTAAAGCTCCAAAGGAAAGCTGCCCAATCTTGTCACCCTGCCGCTAAACCCACAGCCGACATTTGGATCACAGAATAAACCTGAAGCAAACCTCATTGGACCGGAGTCGTGATGAGAATTCCCTTGCGTCATGTTGGGACCAGCAGGACATTTCGAAGGCCTGGCAGGGCGGTCACCACACACAATGGTCACGGTTCCCACACTTGTACAGTGGGACTGGACCTCACACAATGTTTAAACAATTCCATGACTTTGGTGGAAGGTCTGGTGTTGGAAAAAGAAAAAAGAAAAAAAAACTTGGGTGAGGAATGGAATGTGTTCAGCACTGATGTGTGTGGAGAATTACTGGTAAATTATTTGTATAGTTGACGCCCATTTATCGCAAGGGATACGTTCCAGGCTCCACTGTAATAAGTGAAAATCCACGCTTTACAGAGACTATGCAAAGCAAACGTTTGAAATGAAAACCATTTTTATCCATCCCACACACTTCAAACACATTAAAACACTCTTTTTAGTTTCCGCAGTTGGCTGGCAACCAGTTGAGGGTATACCTCACTTCTCCCGGAAAGCCTGATTGGACATGCTCCAATATCCCTGGGACCCATGTGAGAATAAGCGGAACAGAAAATAGATCGATCATTGGAATTTTCAGTTTTTATTCCTTTACACCTATCCTCTCTCACACTCACTCAGTTCACCAAATATGAGGCAAAGGATGCTTATTTTAAGCTGTGTATTTACCACTCCCAGTAGAGGTTTATTATATAACGGAAATAACAAAAGAGAATTACACATAGTACATTAAACTCCAAAATCAGAATCTGAATCATCCCGACTTGAATGTCTACCACAGGTGTCAAACTCAAGGCCTGGGGGCCAGATCTGGCCCGCCACATCATTTCATGTGGCCCGCGAAAGCAAATCAAACGTGGCAACTTCCATGATGCTTGCTAAAATATGTACCAAAATTTCAAATTTTCAAATGTAATAATTAAAAGAGACATTGTAAGCATTTTCTTGTTGCCAAACACCTAATTACAGTAACTTAAACAATAGTTGAATAAACTGTTATTTTTGACTTCTTAACTAACTAAAATGTGGCCCGCTGCGAAAATGGATTTGACACCCCTGATGTAAACTATATTAAAAAATCTCTGTCGGTCAGAGGCGAATCTTAAACAATCATCCAGCCATATGTTTTCGATAGCACTTGTTCTCATTTGGATTGTGGGTGTATGTTGGCATATCCCAGCTGAATTTTAGGCGTGAGGTGAGATACATGTGCATGTACAAAGAAATCATGAAAAATGATTTCTCCGCTTTTGAGGAGCCAAAGCATTGAAACATGTGCAACCCCCCACGAAGCTCAGCATATCCACAAAGGAATTTCATTTGTTACATAAAACCGGCCCATTTGGCAGAAATAAAAGTCTCACTGGCCTTTTTTTTATTGTTCACATATGTAAAAACACCAGGGTCTGTGGCAGTGAATAGGAGTGGGAATGGACTTTGAGACAATGAAATGGTGTTCATTTAACGGTACTCAGATGTTACCTGATGACCACCGACAAAAGAATTTTGCATGTCGTTCGATTGCAGACATGATTTCAATGTCCTAACTGACGCTCAACGTTGAGGTGAAACTGTTTATCAAAGAAAACTGTGCTGGAAAGCCGATCGGAGTATTTTGTTCTCTCCAAAAGGAACAGCACTGAAAGCATCAAACGTTACACAATTAGGAAACGTTGGCTGC